GTGGTGGAAGAGGGACATAACAGTACCATGCTGTTAACAGAACCTCACTGCTTGCTATTGTAGATGGGTTTTTCTCTTTTGGCGCCTTGTTTTTGTATTTTTGTTGCGTGCTTTGGTATTTGTTGTTGTTTTTTGGCAACTCCAGACGGTTCTTCTCGTCCTGAGCATTTCATTGCATTGTTGACCTCGTTGACCTGCATATGACAATAAACCTAAACCAAAGCAGAAGGCGCTGGCTTCAGAAAGTTGGAAAGTGACTGTATATATAGCAGGAGTCCAAGTTCCTTCTAAAGGGTGAACGCTTTCTTCCCTGAGGTTGACGGCAGCCTTTGCTCCCAGCGATGGGCAGCCTGTCAGTAAAGAGGAAGACACAAGTCTGCTGCTCACTCTGAGACACGTGATCCAGGGTTCTGTCCTCAGCGTCTTCTGTCCCCACTGAAACTCGCTCTGTGAGTTCTCCCGTTCCACAGAGTTACAAAACACCCGTTGTCCTAATGTGTTTTTGTTGAAGACATTTGACATGTCGGCAGCACGTCTCACCAGGTGCACGTTTCGTTCTTTCTCTTTGATTTGTTCATTGTGTTAGTTTTCATTACAAATCATCAAAAGGCACAGGCTTCAGAAAACATTTATTAACCAGTGAGCAAATTGTATTGAAACTTTCAGAAAGTAATCCTGAGATGTACGTCTACAACTGCTTACATGGTGGAGTCAACCCAGTTCAAGATGTCTTGACACAACAAACAAAAAATGCCTCTAGTTCAGCCATTTTAAAGACTGTGAACCAAACTTTTGGGTGGAACTAGCTTAGACTGATATCCTGCACATACTCTGTGCGCTGACAGTTTGAACACGTTTTTACATGTTCGGAGCCAACACTGCGTCTGTTAGCAAAATATCCCTTGAACCATTGGATGGATTTGAATGAAATGTTTAATTGTTATAACTTTACTTTGGAGGCAGCAAAATTCAAGATGGCTGACACCGCTAACTGACTTTACAACTCGTGAACAGGATTATAATTTAGTCCGTTTTACAAATATTGCGTTAAAATTTGATGTGGCAGTTACTGAGAGTCGTTCATAACACAAAAGCCGAGCGTGACATCTCACAAATCCACGAGATTGTGTGCAATATCATGCATGCATGTTTGCATGCATGTATAATGCATGTAATGCAGTCCCTCGTTTATCGCGGGTGTTTGGGACCACGCCTACCGCGATAAGTGAAACACCGCAAAGTCGGGATACAGTAGTCTAAGTTCAGTAAACTTTGTCATGACATGTCCCAGGCTGTAATCACACTCATCACCTGTTACTCCCAATCTTCCTCAACAATTTACATTTAAATACAGTAACATTTTAAATAAACAATCCATACAGCATGGATTGTTTATTTAAAATGTTACAGTATTTAAATTTAAATTGTAGAGAAGAGAAGTGCAGCAGGACATCAAAGGGATGTCACACAGCTTCAGCTCTGTGGCACGGAGCAGAAATGTTCTTCTTCATCAATTACACTGAAACTACTGAACATAGAAGTTCTAAAATAATTAAAAATAACTTTAACACTTTTATATTTTGTGATTATGATGATTTTTACAATGTGACATACTTTGAATTTTAAGTTGGAAGACAAAAGTTGCTCGGTGCATCTGGACAGCAAAGGGTTAACCCTTCACAAAACTGCTGCAGCAGGAGAAATGTGTGTGTGGCAGAGAAGGAGATCAGCTGATCAGCTGCAGGAGGGAGCTTTCCCCTGCACATGTGGGCTGCGCACACGGTGCAAAATAATTTAAAATATTTTATTTTAAGTAAACAGCCCATGGCTCATCCATCAATCAGCCAGTTGTGTTTGGGGGAAAAAAAGTAGTACATCAAATCTGCAAAAAATGAACTGCGAAGTAGCGAGGACTACTGTATATATGTATCATTTCAAAATGTACTTTATTTTACCAGCTGTATTGAATATTTGTAAAACCCTGGTAACAGTGGATGGTGTGTATGAATCACAGCTTTTACATACTTCCTAACCGCAACAAAGTTCAGCACAACTTCCTGTTAATAAACCGGGTTTGAGTCACGAACTCCTGCAAATAATGGCCGACCAGCTCTCGTTTCGGTGAACCTCTAACATGAGGTCTTTATGTCGCAGGCTGCAGCTCACAACATCTGCAGGAAAAATGTCTTCCAACTACTTGGTCTTCTTCTAAGCCTGAGGAGGACGTGTGTCGGAGGTTGTGTTGAACATTTGATAGCTGATTGTGAAACAGCTGCCGTGACGGGTCCTGGTGATCATTATCAGCTGATCCGCTGCAGTCTGGGCTGTTTTATGATTGACAGCTGACTGACAGGCGTCTAATAAAGTAACACTTCTAAACCACAGTGTAAAGCCAGTATTTTATACACTTCTTTCCTTTATGGGTTTAAATTCTTAGTCATGGTTGATCATTACTACCTGTGGTCCGAATTTCAAATTTAGAGTCTTAAGGAAGTTATTTATTTAGCGTAGGATTAATAATTGTGCCTTTTCTCCCCTTGATTGTACGTGCATTATGACACTGGTTTTTTTTTTTTTAAACAAATGTCTTGTCCGTTTTTTTAATGAATTTTTCTTTAAAACTGTTGCTAATTTAAATAAATAAGTCCTGCTCGTCTTTGACAGCACCTGTCCACACAGGGTCAGATGCAGTCAAGCGTGCGACAAAAAAGTGGACCAGTGCCCGACAGGAAGTTAGAACAGTAGCTACTGGGAAATGAACGAGGTTGATTGCACACCATCAGGGTGGACTGCAACGTGTTTGGATTTGGATTTGAGCTGTACAGGTGCTTTCAGGTTAACGTCAGCTAAAATAAGGCAGGAAATGATGTCATTAAAAATCCTCTGCCTGATGGACTGCAATCCTCGGTGGATGAATTCATTCAATCACCCAACCCTAGAATCAAGAAGAAATCAAATCATCCATCCTTCCATCCATCCATCCATCCATCCTTCCATATATCCATCCATCCATCCATCCATCCTTCCGTCCTTCCATATATCCGTCCATCCATCCATCCTTCCATCCTTCCATCCATCCATCCATCCATCCATCCATCCTTCCATCCTTCCATATATCCGTCCATCCATCCATCCTTCCATATATCCATCCATCCATCCTTCCATATGTCCGTCCGTCCATCCATCCTTCCTTCCTTCCTTCTGCCCTTCTTTCCTTTCACCGTTCCTTCCTTCCACCCTCTGCAGCAGCTTGAGCAGGGAGATCCAGACATCTCTTTCCACAGCACCTCTTCCAGCTCTTCTGGAGGGACTCCAAGGCGTTTCCAGGCCAACAGAGAGACGTAGTCGCTCCAGCTTGTCCTGGGTCTTCCCCGGAGTCTCCTCCCTGTCGAACATGCCCGAAGCACCTCCCTAGGGAGGTGCCCAGGGGGCATCCCTACCATATGCCTGAACCACATCAACTGGATCCTCTCCATGTGAAGGAGCAGTTGTTCTACTCCGAGTCTCTCCTGATAACTGAACTTCTCACTCGATCTCTAAGGGAGAGTCCAGCTGCCCTGCAGAGGAAACTCATTTCAACCGCTTATATCCACAATGTCATTCTTTCTGTCACTACCCAGAGTTCAAGACTATAGGTGAGGGTAGGAACGTAGACTGACCTAAACAGTGAGCTTTGCCTTATGGCTCAGCTCTCTCTTCACCACAACGGACCAGTACAAAGTCTGCAATACTGCAGACACTGCACTAATCTGTCAGACAGATGAAATCAAGTGATGTACAAGTTATTTTTGTTACTGCTGTGCATTAACTCCTTTTCAAAAGTTGTCTTAAGTGACCACGTAAGGTTAGCTTTTTTTTCCCCTTTCATTTCCTTTTTTAAGTTTCCATTTCTGTTTTTCTGTTTGTATATCCAAATTGTCATTAAAATTTGTGACTGTAAACCCGGTTTGCATAAGTCCCTTAGTCCTTTAGCTACATAAAAACATTTGGCTTTTAACTGAAAATAATAATAATTTTATTTAAAAAGTGCCTTTCAGGACACCCAAGGACACTTTACAGTAAGAAACATATCAGAGAGATTGTGTGAAAACAATCCAGCACAGTGCAAAGATCAACAGGAATAAATTGAAGTATAATACATAAAGAATATAAAATACATAAAGAATATAAAATACATACAGCAAAGTTGAGGATAAGCGAGTCTAAAGAGATGCGTTTTCAGAGCAGTCTTGAATAGAGAAAGAGAGGTGGTGTTTCATAAGTCAGGGGGGTAGAGAGTTCCAGAGATGAGGGGCAGAGCAGGTGAAGGCCCTGCTCCCCATGGTGGAGAGGCGGGCAGAGGGTCCATGGAGGTGTAGTGAAGAGGAGGATCTGAGAGAGCGAGAGGGGATGGAGATGTGTAGGAGGAAATAAAACACTAGTTTCAGCCTCCCAAGTATTAGCTTCAGCATCTACAGGAGTGAGCAAACTGTGTGTGCTTATTTTAATACATGTGTCCCAGTTTGACCAACATGTAGAGCCTGTTATAAGATGACACAGCTCCAGTCACTTGCGGTGGAGACGTCCCAGTTTGGCTCCATTCCCAAGCGTGCATACAACTTCATTAGCATTTCATCTAACACAGAGCTATGACACTCTTGGAAGCTTGTTTGTCTGATCATTTTAGTGGACAGAGATTTTTACTAACACTGGTTAGTCCAAGAGAGTAAACAATGTTATAGGAGTTTGCAGAATCTTGTTTACGTCTGTTTGATTTGAAGCAGCTGAAAAACAAACAAGAAGAAGAGGAAGTGAGAAAGAAACTGAGAATGTATGAATCTGACCATTGAAGACCAAGCCCAGTCAGGCATGACATTTTTTTTATTACAAGACAAACAAGAGTAAAGTTAGCCTGCCCCGGTGCATTTTCTACAAACCGGAACCCCTGAAACCCACAAAATAAATCCACTGTTCTACAAAGTTTTCACAGATCTTTTCTTCTTTCTTGTCCCTTCCTCCAGTCCTTCTGGCTCAGCCCATAGAGAACGAGTGCATGGAGGGTCTGACTCTGAAGATCACCGATTTTGGCCTGGCGAGGGAGTGGCACAAAACCACCAAGATGAGCACAGCCGGCACGTACGCCTGGATGGCCCCAGAGGTCATCAAGTCCTCGACCTTCTCCAAGGGCAGCGACGTCTGGAGGTGAGTGCCCGTGTGTTGTTCTATGTGAGCAGGGTTGTGGAATTGTGTCAGTGATCCGAGCTAAGAACCCAGAGGTCTAGCACATAGCTTTTAGCTAGCTGAATGCTAGTGTGCTACTCATACACAGGTGGTGGCCTCGCAAACACCTGGTGGCATCTTCAGCTGTTTATCAGAAGAAAGTGAGCTCTTCAGAGCACATGAATTACAACTCATTTGTCTTTCTGTACATCCACCTCTCACTGCTGGTACTCTGGTTTTCTCTGCTGCCGTAGATCATCAAAACCTTCAAACTAACAGGTGCTTGTGTTTCACCCGAGTTAACCGTATGGCTGAAACGCAGCAACGCAACGACAGCGTCATGTAACCTAGTGTTTCCCCTACCATTATACAAGTGGGGCACCCCGTCAACAGAACCGAGCGCCCTGCCTACTGAATACCCCCTCCCTGCCGACGACTGTCAGTATTAATGTAGCACGTGAAGCAATACAATAATGCTAGCAAAAATGCTACTGATGTAACCCCCCATCATCTTTAAAAACCAGCAGCAACTAAGTAATCTAGTTAGCAGGCGGGCAACACAGACGTGACTCAGTCCAAGTAAAGTGTCATTACAGTGATCCTGGTTTGATATCCCTGAGTCTAACAGCTTCAGGTTTCTCAGTCTAGTGGTTCTACACTTAATGCTCCACAACCTTCTGCCTGAGGGGAGTGGGGCAAAAAATGTGTGTGCTGGGTGAGTGGGGTCCTTCATGATGCAGGTGGTCCTCTTCCTGCATCTTGAGGTGTAGATGTCTGTGATGGTGGGGAGACTGACTCTGACAGTCTTCTGTGCAGCCTTCACCACTCTCTGCAAAGCTTTTCTTTCTGCAGCTGTGCAGCCTCCGTGCCACACGTTGATTCTGGAGCACAGGATGCTCTCCACTGCACACCTGTAGAAGGAGGTGAGACCTGAGCTTCCCAGTCCAGCCACTATGTACATGACGACAGCAGTTTTCTCTTAAAGCTTTGTGAGTCCATTTCTCAGCGTGGAGACTTTTAGCTTGGCATCGGTGTGCAGGACGGACGGCTGCAGTCAGTAGTTTATTTGTGCTTTTGTGAGTAGATGAACACCAGTAACAATGGTGGACAGCAGTTCTCACCTTTTTCAACATGTAGGAGCAGGCCAACCTCATCCTCGGTCCAAATGACCGTTGTTGTATGTGTTGACCTTGTTTGGACGTAACTGTTTTCATGCTCAAGTCCAAAGTGTCTGAGTGCACATATCTTTGAAAGGCAAAACGAAAGCAATGGGCAGAGCACTATCGGGAAAAATGTCGTAGATATGTTAGCGCTCAGTCATGTTGAAATTGACT